TCCCTATAATTATTGCTAAATGCAAGAATCCTAGGATTTCAATTAAATTTGAATTTCCAACACTCCCCCTCGAGCTAGGGAGTAGATATTTTCCATCCTAGCTTGCTTATAATCCTTTGAAATGCGGAACTTGTCAATCCTTTAGTTAAAACGTCTACTAATTGATCCTCTATAGAAATGTAGGGAGTGCAAATTAATCTGCTCTCAAGCTTTTCCTTTATGAAATGTCTGTCAACTTCCACATTTTTAGCTCTGTCATGCTGAATTGGGTTATGAGCTATGTTTATTGCAGACTTATTGTCACAATAAAGCTTTATTGGGTTCTTCCATTTAATCTTCAAGTCCTTTAGGATAATCTTGAGCCATAACAACTCACAAATACCTTGTGCCATCAAACGAAATTCTGCCTCTGCACTAGATCTTGCTACCACCGGTTGTTTCTTACTCCTCCAGGTTACCAAATTTCCACCAAGAAAGGTACAAAACCCAGATGTTGATCTTCTGTCAATAACAGAGCTAGCATAATCAGCATCTATGTAGGCTTCTAGTTCCATATTTGTGCTTTTTCTGAAGAGAATCCCTTTTCCTAGACTGCTTTTCAAATATTGCAATATTCGGTATACTGCATAGAGATGGACATCCATAGGGTTTTGCATGAACTGACTTACCACACTCACCGTATATGCAATGTCAAGCCGTGTGTGTGACAAGTAGATTAACCTCCCAACAAGTCGTTTGTACATGCCTTTGTCAGCTGGTTTTCCTTCCATAGACTTTCCTAGTCCATGATTTGGCTCAATAGGCGTGTCTGATGGTCTAAAATCGAGTTTACCTGTTTCTTCTAGCAAATCAAGAACATATTTCTGCTGTGAAATAAAGATTCCTACCTTGGACTGAGCTACTTTTATTCCTAAGAAATACTTTGACTTCCCAAGGTCCTTGATTTCAAATTTTTTTGCTAAATATTTCTGAAGAGCTTCCTTTTCATTTGGATCATTTCCAGTCACTAAAATATCATCCACATAAACTATCAACGTAGTGACTCCCCCTGAAGCAGAATGCTGGATAAACAATGTATGATCACCCTGACTCTGTTTGTACTTCATATTTAACATTGCTTCAGTGAATCTTTCGAACCATGCCCGAGGAGATTGTTTGAGCCCATACAATGCCTTTTTCAATCTACACACTCTGTTTTTGCCTAGATTTATGCCAACGCCAGGCGGAACTTCCATATAAATTTCCTCCTCAAGATCTCCATGTGAAAAAACATTTTTCACATCGAACTGTTGTAAAGTCCAATCATAACTTGCTACAAGAGATAACAACACCCTTATTGTATTCATCTTCGCCGCTGGTGCAAATGTCTCCTGATAATCCACTCCATAGATTTGTGTATACCCCTTGGCTACTAGTCTAGCTTTATACCTCTCAATGGATCCATTCGACTTATATTTCATTGTGAAGACCCATTTGCATCCGACAGGGATGATATGTGAGAAATTTGTGTGAAGAATGGGTCATATGGTCGATTGCCCCGGAGTCAATAACTTAGGAATTTGAAAAATCTGAACTAGAGGCACTTAAAGCATATAAGGAATAAAGTTTACCTGAATTTGCTAGGGAATAGGTACCTGTAGACTTTTCTAATGAATCAACGAGTGACCTCAGCCTTCCAATGTCTTCTTTGTTAAATTCATGCTGCTTTTCACCACTGGAATCATGTGATCTGTCCTCTCTAGATTGAGTCATATTCGCCTAGCTTCGTTGTGTTCCTACTCTAGGACCCTTATTCCATTGAGAACTTTGTGGTTTTCCATGAAGTTTCCAACATTGCTCTTTCGTATGGCGAGGCTTTTTGCAGTCGTTACACCAGAGGTTATCCTTGTTTGAGGACTGAGACTCTCTTTTGCCAATTTTTGAATTTGCAATATTGTAGGCAGATGTCTTTTCAGTATTAAACTTCAAGTTCTGATCATTGGATTTTCCCAACATTGCTGATCCTTCAACTGGTTGAGATTAGAGCATAACTCCCATTCGACTTTCTTCAACATTGATGATAGAGATGGTCTCATTCAGTGAAGGTAAATCTTCTTTTCCTAATACCTGAACTCTCACCTGATCAAACTCAACATTTAAATAGAGATGGCAATGGACCCGATATTTTTGGGTACTCGGCTCGGCCCGGCCCGGCCCGGCTCGAAAAGGTCGGGCTTTACCCAGTGTTCATGGGCTTGGGCTTGGGCCTGATTTTAAGGCCTGACCTGGGGTACGGGCCAGGCCTGGGTATATCTTCAGGCCCGGCCCGACAATTTTAGTATTAATTTTACTCAATTATCTTTATACTATATATTTAATTACAATACATATATATACCCATTTTTCCCAAACCCTAATCTCATCCCATTTGATGAGTATTCAAAAATAAATAAATATTTAAAAACTATTTTTAGAATTAAAAATATATAAACAAAAATTGAAATTTATTAATATTTAAAAATTCACATTATAAAAATGGGCGGGCTTGGGCCGGGCCTAAGGTTACAAAAACCCGTCGGGTCGGGCTTGGGCTCTACCTATCATACCCGTGATTGGCCCGGGCCAGGCTTGGGCCTTTGTCATGAGGTCGAGCTTGGGTTGGGCCAAGGGGTACCCGGTCCCGGCTCGGCCCATTGCCATCACTACATTTAAACCAGTGAGGAAATCATAAATTCAATCCTTTTCAATGAAATTCTTTAACGCAACTGCATTGTCGCTGCACCTCATCTCAATGCACCGATAATGATCCATCTCTTGCCATAGATTCTTCAAGAGATTGGCATACTCCGTGACTGAGCGATCTCCCTGTTTGATGCCGCAAATTTTAGTTTTAATCTCATAGATTTGAGCACAATCTCTTACCTTAGATTAAGTTTCTTTTGCCGTTTCCCATATTTCTTTAGACGTTGTCAGAAACACAAACGTATCACTGATTTTTGGCAGCATGGAATTCCATAGCCAATACATGACCGTGGAGTCCTCTTCATCCCAAGCGTCAAATTTAGGATCTCCCTTCTTGGGTCCAGTACCAAGGAGATGATTTAATTTTCCCTTCCCTTTCAGAAAGGTCCACACCACTTGAGACCACTTCCTATGATTTTTTCCATTCAATCAGTAAGTTGATTGAATAGTAGGTAGCTCTCTTGTTGTTTGATTAAGAGTCACTGCTTTAGACTAGGAGGTAGTGGTTTTCTCGGTTGTGGAAGACAGACATATTTTAGCAATGAAGGCTAAACAGAAAAAGAATAAGAAAAATACAGGATACAAGCAGGGCACAAAGGATCTTGGCAATGAAGGCTTGTAGGATGAGATTTCTAATCCTAGAAAAGAGCCTAAAGCTCTGATACCATGAAGAGAATTATGGAATTCTTAATTCTTATTAAACATGACTAAATACAAAGAATTTATACAGTAATGAATTGTTATTCTAGGAAGTTAATCCCTAGAAATCATGAAAAAATTAACTACTAATTTACAGCTAATTGATTATAATTACTCCCTGTGATTACTGCTATCCCTATAATTATTGCTAAATACAAGAATCCTGGGATTTCAATTAAATCTGAATTTCCAACACTTTGATGTAACCGTAAACATTGATTCAGATATAGATCCAAGAAGCCAACTTACTAGTAGCTTGTCTGTCTTTTTCCACTAGCTATAAGTTGGATTAGGTTTCTTCTCTGTGATTCCATCAGGACCTTCACTTGATGGAATCTTCACTTTGAACTTTGATAAAGGGAGCTGGACATGAAATTAGACCGGTGAGATGCTCCTTCAAGTCATGAGAACCTACTGCAAATAGAATTTGCGATTTCCAAAACCTATAGTTATCCCTAGTCAATTTGGGAGAAATGGCAGGTAAGGTTGAAGAAGACATGGTTGGAGTAATTACAGAACTTCCAGGTTCAAAGGTCAATTTGTGACCTGAATTGTTTTGATTGAGAGAGATCAACCATTTGTGACGTTTGTCAATGGCTTTGATACCATGTGAGTTATCAAGCTAAAATAGGGAAAAACGAAGAAGGAAGAATCTGGAAAATTTCTGTATATTCAGCTTAAAGAGTAGTGTACAGTAGTAGCTCATTTATAGTGATGAGCACTTTAGAAAAATAACAGAAATGTAACAAACTGTTAGAGCTAAACAGAGGTGCTAAACAGAAGTAATAGATTTAACAGAACACTTGATTAACCAGGTCAATAATGTTGACCTTCTAACTAATCAGCTTAGCACTTTACTAACACAACTTAGGTATATGAAGAGAATTGCAGTTTCATGGTATTCTCTTTCACTGGGAAGCCAGAAACTAAAAATTATATTCCAAAAAGGAATGATGTCACTATTGCTTCAAGTGTAAATCTGCCTGCTTCTCACTCATCCCAAATCATCCAAAAATACCCATAATGTTTGCTACCTGTATTAATATGTTCTATAAACCATGTGAAGTGGGACAAACAAGGAGCAAGTGGCCGCCATACTGCTGCTTTTTCTTTCCATTATTATTATTATTTTGGTATGGATGCTAACAAATTATAAAGAAATTTGACTCTTTGTTTTTCTCAAATTTCTCCGCTTCTAAAGAGATCTTAGAAATGGCTTTCGCAGATGTTGTTGCTTTTCATGTTCCATCTGCATTACATTTCCATAGGCATATAACCATTTATAGTTATTTATTGACAATAGGCTTTAAATTACAGTTAGTTACTCAATGGTTGTTTCAATTAAGTTGAAATTCGCAAATATCTTCAATTAAGTTGAAATTCGCAAATATCTTCTCGACTCAGGAGCTCTTTTTGCCCATTGTACTCTTTGTTCTATCCTCTATTATGTTTGCTAGGCCATTTAATTATAGTTTATTTAGATAACACAAATTCAGTACTTCAATATTTTCTGTCAATTTATCTACCTATTTTACTACTTTTATGCTAAAGAGTTTCTTTTATCTGTCAAATACGTGAAGGTTAGTGAAGCAAGAAACTTGGATAGAGATTTAGTGGAGAGTGGCCTTACTTTTGCTGGTTTTGCGGTAATTAGCGCAAACTTTAATTTCCCTTAATTTCTTGTGATTTGCTTATATATTTTTATTATTTTCTTTTTCTTGGATATTTCAACCAGATTCTTTAATGAATGCATATTTTGATTATTCTCTTTTTCTTGGATATTTCGACCAGATTCTTTAATGAATCCATACTTTGATTATTCACTTTTTCTGGGATATTTCAACCAGATTCATTAATGAATGCTTATTACTACTTATATTTTCTTATTTTGTTCTGTAAATGCTGGTAATATAAATTTCAGGTATTTATGCCCTATTAGAGCAGATTCGGCCACCATTTTGTCTGAATTAAAGAATTCGTCCCATGACTTGGTGAGTAATATGCTCGTGTATCTTGGTTGCGATTATGTATATTAGAAAGTTGTGAACTTTGAATCTGGAGTCCTGACTCCTAGTTTGTGCAATATTGCGTGCTGAAGATATAATTTTTTAATGATAGGCGATGATCACTGGTGACTAAGCATTGACAGCTTGCTATGTTGCTAGCCAAGTACATATTGTTTCAAAGCCAGCACTAATTCTTAGTCCCTCGAAGAATGGTAGAGGATATGAATGGATATTGCCTGATGAAACAGAGATTATTCCATACAGGTGAAGTTTCACCTATTGTTATTTACCTCGTTATCAATTTGTTGAGATCACCCTTTAATCTTTTACTAGTTTTTAATGGCAATGAACACACACATTTCACCAAAAGAAAATGCCTTGAACTTAGAATTGTAAAACTTGTTTTATCCTCAAATAGTTGATTCAATATGCGTTTACATTTCTCTATGGAGTTTCTTATCGAGCCGAAGCCAGGAACATTGATATAATGAACCTTTTTTTTTTTTTTAATTTAATTTAAAGCTCTTTATATTAAACTATAACGGAAAAAGCTTTCCTTTGTCAACTGAGGAAAGTGGGAATGTACTTGATTTGATTGCAGTGAGAAAGCGGTTGAAGTTTTATCAGAGACACATGATCTCTGTGTTGAAGGTGACTGCATTGAAATGTCACAACAGACTTCTGCTGTTCTACGAGTCATTCCTTATGTGAAGGTTTCATAATGATACTATCTGTTTCAATGTTGTTATGATGATAGCCTCATCTGGATAATATGTATGCTATATTTGTACAGGTTTTTGCAAGAGTTGCTCCTGAGCAAAAAGAATTAATCATGACTCGTAAGCATGTTATTAAATATATTTTTTTTCTGCATGCTATAAAGAAGACATGATGGAATCATACCCAGGCAGGATCTTTCTCTCTGATTGGTTCTGCTGAAATTGAAATGGAACTTGTCAGTATTGTAGCACAAGGCACATTTTCTTGTGTTGTTTCTGGGCATGATGATCAGAGATTTGTGTTGTTGACTTTTTGCTTTGCTGTTGTAAGAGATTGCAGCAGTAGACATCTAATACTTTCTTTTCAGGCACACATAGGGGTTGCTTAGTTGAATGCCATGCCTCCAACTCAAAACAAAGCCTCATCATCAGAAACATCTAAAGATGAAAACACAAAGTCAGGTAAATCAAAGAAATCTAAGTCTGCATCAGAAGCTGTTGGCAAACCTATCAGTCAGAATGGAGAAGGCACTTCTGCCAGCCACACCACAGGTAACCGCCATCAGGCGGCTATTGAGATGCCATGACAGAAGCTGAAGAAGCTGATGGATGAGATGAATGAGGAGGGTGATGGTCGTTCTGCTCCAATTGTCAAGCTTGTGGATGCCTCTATGTCGCCATCATTTACAGCAAAGCATGCATCAGTTGCTCCAACAACAGACATAATTTGTCAGGGACGTAATACTCTTGTGACAACCCTTCAGATGTTCAAAATACTCGGCCTAAATTGCCTTGCTACAGCATATGTGTTGAGTGTTATGTATTTGGATGGTGTCAAGCTCGGCGATGTCCAGGCTACAATCAGTGGTGTCTTTACAGGTGCCTTTTTCCTATTCATTTCACATGCCCGCCCTCTTCCTACTCTGTCAACTGCACGACCCGGTCCTAATATTTTCTGCCTATATGTCTTACTTTCTCTCATGCGACAGTTTGCTATTGTTTTTCCTGATGTCTTCTGTGAAAGAGGCAGAGAAGTACACGCCGGATGAATGCATTGAACCAGACTCAGATTTTCATCCCAATCTTGCGAATACAGTTTCATACATGGTAAGCATGATGCTCCAGGTGGCCACCTTTGCTGTAAACTACATGGGTTTTCCTTTCAACCAGAGCATCTCTGAAAACAAACCATTTTTGTATGTTCTGATTGCTTCCGTTGGTTTCTTCAGAGTCATTACGTGTGATCTATTAGGGACTTAAATGACTGGTTGAAGTTGGTGCCTTTGCCATGGGGATTAAGGGATAAACTTTTGATTTGGGCTTCTCTCCTGTTTTTGAGCTGTTATTGATGGGAGAAATTTTTGAAGTGGGCATTCCCAGATAGAGTTGCAGATTGGAAGAAACGACAACATGCGGTTGCAGCAAATTCGGATAAGAAGCATGCTTGAACAACCATAACCTTATATGTGGCATTTGCGGGTGTGTCGAGCACTTTGGTAAAGGCCATGATAATTTGTGTTGATGTTGTGAGTAATGTGACACAGCTAGAGTACTACAAAGGATAGCTTCAGTAAGTTGGGTTACTTAACAGTTGCCTGATTAATTACTGGTTTCTGCCCCTTCATTTAGTTGAAATTTTTGGTAATTCTTAATTTTACTGTTGAAGAGGAGGGAAATATTTTAGGAATTTTGGCTTCTAAATCTGGTGATTTAAAGTTTTTTTTTAATTTTATTTTTAATAACGCAGGAAATCTTTTAGGATTTTTCTTTTTAATAAAGTGTCTTTGTAGGAGTAGTATTACTCATTTTGTTTACTTAAAAGGCTAAAAATTCAGTTTGGACATTTAGATAAATGGTAAGTCTAGGATTAACAGATTTATAATATATGAGTAGAAGAAAGCCTGTTTTGGAATATATATTCAAGTACACTATAAAATAGGAGGCTTTTTCATATAAGCAATTTTTATTGAGTAGACATGTTTATGTACAATAAATAAAACTTAAATTAAGCCGTAGTAGTAGGTTATTCAATGTATAAAATTACTTAACTCAAATTATTCCAAATTGTATTAAATCTTTAAGTCAACCACTGTTGAGAAATATAAACTATGCTTTTTATCATTTGGAAATACTTTTTTATTTTTTCCTCAAAATATATCTTTAATAAAATACTTTGCACAAAACAGTAAAAAATTAGCTTCTATTATATTAATTATTAAATATTAACATTTTACTAGCAAAAAATATTTAACTAATTAAATGGTTGAGAACAATTTTTAATTATTTAAAAAAAAAAAAATACAGATGAAACAGACTACAAGAGACAGACTGAAGTTCACTATAAGTTTAAAACATTTTCAACTAAGAAGAACAACTTTAAAGTCCTTGTCTTCCTATTTGCCCATAATTGCCAAAAAACAAGAAGAAGAAAGATACAGAGAGATTAAGAGAAAGTTGTGAACTTTATATATTTTTTATTATTTTGATGATGTTTGTTCTTATGAGATTCTATTCTTTCTGATCTTTATTTCCTAGAATTTGATTCTTAGAGAAAAAGTGTTTATTTGCAGATCTATTTGGAGCTCTTGGCTTATGGGTTTTTCTTCAATTGGGGTAAATTTTTCTGATTCTAATTATGGGTTTGGAATTGTTAGGGGATTTTATTGATGGGTTTTGAGTATTTGCTAGTTGTTTTTTTGTGAGATGGGTGGGTTATTGAATAATACTATTCTAACAATTCTCTCTTACAAATTTTTTTTTTTTTTTTTATAATTCTATGCAACATATTACAATTAGTTAGTTCACAATAGATCTTACATGAGTCCTACATGAGTCTTACTAATTAATTGTAAGTTGACCAATTGAGATTGTGAAAAAAAGTTGTTAGAAAATGAGGAAAAAGAGATTTTTTTATTTTGAGTTATGCTTGGTTGCTTAAAAGTTATGAAAATATAACCCCTATTTTTGGCTAATTTATTTAATTTCCCTTTTATTAATACCCATCAAATTATAATAAAAAAATACGAAAAAGGTTTTCATAAATAAAACTATGTCTGACTAAATTCAGATGCTAAATAATATACTATTTACTTTTGAATTTAAAAAAAATAAACAATTATTAATAAAACCTAATAAGAGTCGGATTTATGGTCTCAACCTTATTAATCCTATTTATTTAATATACTGAATTCTGAATTACCTCCACATTCAAACGGATGGTAAATAGCGTAGGGGCAAAACGGTTTAAATTAATCTAAAAAACAAAAACCAATTGAAGGCAGAAGGAGGCGACGTCACGGCGGAAGGAGGGATTCCCAGTGGCCCAAAGCGACAGGCTTGGGTTGATCCACCCCGATTGCTCCCTAATCTCCCCTGCCAGCCTCTCACCTCCAAAACTCCGCCCTTCACTCTTTTGTTTTCCTCCAAGAAGATTTTCCCGGTGGCCGTTCAACTCCTGTACGAGCTATATACTCAATGGATTTTTATCATAAATACTCTATTTTTCTTAATATTAGTTTTAGTATATTTACGTACATAATAATTTCTTTCTTAGTCAAAGTTAGGTCAATCTCTGCTTAAGGTTATTATCGTCTTTGTGTTCATGTCTCTCCAGTGTCTGTAAAGTAGTCGGTAAAGTGCCTTGCTTTGAGAGAGTTTAAATTTAAATGTTATTATTTTACAGAAGACAATAACACAACGATGGAGAAAGAATCTTCAGCAAGTGATGCCGCTGGAGTTCAAGTATCATTATTCGATTATTCAGTGCAGAATTATTTTAAAGCAATTGACGGAATCTCGGAGCTCTGTGGTGAGCCGGAGACAAATTGCCTTGATGAATCCGACACCCAACGGTTTTCCTCCTCCATTACTTTCTTGAGGTGATTAATTTTCCTTATATTTCCTGTTTACATTTTTATATATAAATATTTTAAGTGTAATTGAGAAATTGCTGTGTGTTCAGGGAATGGAGATATTTTAATTACGAGCCAAGAACCGTTAGGTTTGCTAATGAAACGGGAATTGGTGGGGCAAAAGTTATTTTAAGTGAAATAAACTTACCTCAATTTTCATCAGCAACTGTTCCTAAGGTATTTGATACTTGTTGCATGATTAGTTTTTGTATTGTTTTTGATATTATGATTCATTTTTTTTTATTTTTTATTTTTTTGGATATTCTTGCAGAATGAAGGTTCATACTCTGATGCGACTTCACTAGAATCAGGGTACAATTAGATTGTTTGAAGAGTTTTTTATTTGATGTTTGGTTTATGGTACTTATATTTTGAATGATGCTTAGTTTAAATCAAGGCGTGTAGATATCATCCATATGTTTTGTTTATAGTATGACAACGGTTGTTCATGCGGTTGGTTTTATATATCCAGCTTTTAAAATTTTCTACTACATTGTGATATGCTTTCGACAATCAATTGTTTTTCAGTGGGTCTAATTGCAGCAAAGACTTCGTGATGTACGCTGGAGGATCTGTTTGGGCATTGGATTGGTGTCCTAGAGTTCGTGAAAGGCCTGATTGTCATACAAAATGTGAGGTACTTGTACTTTTATATCATACGGTATACAATTTATTCTGGTTTTTTATTCTACAATGTTTGCAAGTTCTAATTTTCAACTTCATATCGTCACCAAAGCCTTGCCAGTTTGATATAGATGTAAATATGATTATCTTAATTACTCACATATTGACCTATTTAAAATTCAGTATTTTCTTTATTGGATCTTTTGGTGCAATGTTTGGAAGCTCTAATCTCAGCTTCACGTCATCGCCCAAATTACTTTTGCAACAAGATCAACATGAGAGCTTCTAGTCTCTAACAAAGATTAAAAGTGAGACTCCAAGAAGATTTATTGTTAGAATGATAGAGTAGAGTGTCAATTAGGATTAATACAAAGGAAGAAAATTAGGTTTCATCAGGTTGGTATGTACTGTAATTATATATTTTCTCATTGGGTTGTTGTGTTCTTATAAATAGTTTCGTTTAACATTATTTGAGTAATAAAAGTTTTTATCAAATGGGTGGGTGTGCAGAGCGATTTTAAGGGTGCACATAAGCTCACATTATTATTTATTTTATATTCTTATGTTCTAATTTTAGTTCTTTGTGTTTTTGCCCCAGTTTATTGCTGTTTCTGCTCATCCTCCAGAATCGTATTATCACCAATTGGGTGCTTCACTTACTGGGAGAGGTATTATTCAGATATGGTGTATACTAAACGTTAGTCTAAATGAAGAAGAGGCATCTCCACCAGAGAAAAACCCTAAAAAACGAGGACCTAAAGCTGGTGATGCCATTGAAGACAAATTAAAGAGACCAAGAGGAAGACCTAGAAAAAATTCAATAAATAAGTCTCTTGATAGTGAAGCTGCAATGGATAAGTCAATCCAATTAAAGAGGCCAAGAGGAAGACCTAGAAAGAAACCGAAAGATGAATCCTCTGACAATTTGGATGTTAACAATCAGTTTGTTCAACCACTTGCTGTTCAACATTCAGATGAATCATCTGAGTTGCTATCTATACAAGAAGTTTATGGGAATACCGAACAGCATAATTTACATAAAATTATTGGTAATAAACAAAAAAATTCTGCAGAGAGAGAATCTTCAATGCATTCACCCCTTAAAACTCTGGTGAAGAGTAGAAGATTAACAAGCAAGGGAAATGCTGGGAAAAATAATGATGACATATGTCAGCCATTATCTGCCGGTGATAGCTCTAGACAGGATTCTCTGCCATGTAACAATGAATCAGGCAAGGATTCATTGGACATAAGCTTGGCCTCTTGTTCTACCCCAAAGAACATTGCTCTTCCAAGGGTCATTTTATGCCTTGCTCACAATGGAAAAGTGGCATGGGATGTAAAATGGCAGCCCAATAATGTGAAAGGTTCCAAATGCCAGCAACGGATGGGGTATCTTGCTGTCTTACTGGGAAATGGATCCTTGGAAGTGTAAGACACTGGCTTCTGTTTTCTAGATCTTTATAGACATTTTGATTCTCTTTTTCTGTTCAATATTCTAGATAGTTGAGCAATACGTATGGGTAAATAGACTTGGTTGCATATGTGATTGGTCTATGAGCTGGATAGCTGTTTCTGGGGAAAAGGATGACTGCATACACATTTTTGGTACATTGGAGGGATAAAAGTTCATTAGCTCATATAAGTGATGTAGAAATCAGTGTGAATCAATAGAACATTAAAAATATTGGAACTCTAGAAAGATAGTTACCCTTGAGAGTTGCAATATCACATGAGCAACATAGATAACATGCTAGGTTTGGGTATTAGAAAATTGATTTATAGTTATTATATAAAATAATGAGCCAATTTTCTCCTTTCCTTGAGTTTCTCTTGTTACATTGTTCTGCATGTAAGAGCTTTGACGTTCTATATCACCTATTGTTTGCCTCAGACTATGATCCTCTCTAAAATTGCTAGGTTCTGTGTTATAACGATACATCACAAGAAAATATTTGTCAGGTGTCTTCTCATGATCCCGCTTGTCATATGCAGGTGGGAGGTTCCTCTTCCTTGTACAATGAAAGCTATTTACTTGTCTTCAGTTAATGAGGGCACTGATCCTCGCTTTGTAAAATTGGAGCCAGTATTCAGATGCTCAATGTTGAAATGTGGTGGGATACAGAGGTAATTTGCATGTATGTTGTCAATTTCTTTTAAATAATTTGATATTTAATTTGAATGTCTACAAAGAATTTCCTTTTCATGGCAATAAAGACGGGGATATTTCAAATTTGCATGCATGCTGTTCAACAGAGTTTTGCCATCATCACATGAGAGTCCCTCTAGCTTACTGCAGCAGTCATTTAGGATATCTAAAACATAATGAGGGAAGTCCAGAAGAAAATAGATTTATAAATATGATTTTGTTTTTCCTTCGGTCTTATTAGCTAGAGGATATAATTTTTAAGTAGTAGATTGGAAACTTCAGAAAACTTGTTAATCTTTTTGATATGATGGGATTGGTTCAGCATGGCATGATTCAAAATGCATGTCCAGGGCAAGGTATTTGCTGGCCTAGCTACTTTGTCAATTTCAGTGTGATGTTAAAAGTGTCCATGTGGGTTGGAAAAGAAAATTTGACATGAGAGTGGGAAGAGTGCACTTCATCCCTGTTGCCACTTTCAACAAAATTTCTACCTGTTTTGATGTGCACCTGCACCCATTTCCATGTAATTATGTATTCAACCCCCTTTTTTATTCTTTTTGTCTTTAAATATATTTGTTTTGGATGCTTGGCTTAGGAAGGCTCTTCTAAAGGGAATTTTTCTAGGTGTCATGTTTCTATTTGATCACTATGGAGGTCTGAGTTTCAAATGTTGAGTATAATTGAAGGAATCAATTTAGCAAAATATTTTATGTTTCCAGATAATTAGCTTTAAAATTTCCTACTGCCTTAAGTTTCATAATTGTTTGATACTCTCAAGTGTTCTTTCTTTGATTTACTGCTTATTTACTTCTATTGTACAGCGTCCCTTTGACAGTGGAATGGTCAACCTCACATCCACATGATTACTTACTAGCCGGGTGCCATGATGGATCGGTAATATATTACTGTATATATATTTTTACATTATCCTGTTCCAGTTTGCTTCCTCGTTGATTTGGGGGGTGTAATTATCATTAACATAGATGGTAACATAAATGGGAAAAAGGGTATTTCTCTTTGTGAAATCTCTTTAAAAAACAGATATGAGAGACAGATTAGAAGTGTATTCTCCAATTGGCACATTTTGATTGAATTTATGCTGATATACATATCACATTTGTTGTTCAGTCGGATTCATAGGTTACTTATCTTTCATTTTTTATTTACCATGTTGTGAGAACTGAAGATTTATTACATCCATTCAGGTTGCTTTATGGAAATTCTCTGCAAGAGGTTCATCAGAAGGTAAATACAACATGTAATCCACTTCTATTTTATGTTAATTTTTTTTTTCTCTTGCAGACAATTGCTTGGACTTTTAAAGTATATCAAATTAATTAGTTTTACATAATTTTTCATTTGCTGATGTACAGATACAAGGCCTCTACTTTGTTTCAGTGCAGATACAGTTCCTATCAGAACAGTTGCATGGGCCCCAACAGAAAGGTCAGTGATTTGAGAAGATTAATTTTCCATATTATCTAGTCTTCTGTGTTTATATATCTCTACGATCTCCTTTTGCACTAAATGCGTGTTTATGCCTATTCTGTGGATGTAATACAATTTTTTACGTGAAGGAATTTTTTCTTATGTGGAGTGTAAATATTCTTTTTTCAACCGTTGCTTTTCATAATTACAGTATAAACTTACTACTTGGGAATGTCAATGCTCTTACAGTATGACATAGTCTGGTATGCATTCAGTAAATAAAGATAACCATTAGATCTTTATTGTTTGTAGGATGAAGAGATTGGGTTGAGTGGCTCTTTGGCTTGGTTTCAAGGTTTGGTTGGGCCATTTAACTTTGGCTTGGGTTCATTTGGGAAGCATTGATTGTATTTAGGATCCTGCTGCCACCTCAAGTATTTGTGCAGTAATTGCTTGGTGTAGGATGAAGAAATTAAACTTTTGTTTGAGAATTAATAGGTGTGGGATGGAGGTAAAAAAGAAAGTTAGGAATTTGGATCAGTGAAATATAGGGTTTGCAGCAAATTTGGGTGACTTTTTACCCCCAAAGTTGTGGACAATTTGCAAATTTTGCAAATTCCTATCAACACTTCCTTTCAAGAGTTGAGGTGCAAATTTTTATAAAAGCACGGTTTTTTAATGGGAAAAGAATATATTGTGGATGTTAGATTGACTGAGGGAAGATTTTTTTTAGCTGGCCAGATTTTATTACCTTTAGGCTCTATTTGGCACATGGGATAGATTGGACTGGATTGGATTGAATTGTTGATATTATTGTCTTGTGTTCAGTGGAAGATAGGATTAAGTTTTGAAAGATGTTACTTGATATAAAATAGATTAATCTGTAACTAAAACTAATTTATAATTTTTTTTAAGGATTTTAAATGAAGATTGTCTTTTTATTGTAAATATAATTGTAATAAGTTGTTACATCATATTATTATTTGTTACAATTTATTTTTGAAGAAATTCATATTTCCTCATTTAATACCAAAATAATTATATATCATCATCATCATCAGTAACTGCTATGTTGCAATTTCTTTTAATAAGAAGGTTCATACTCTGATGCGACTTCACTAGAATCAGGGTACAATTAGATTGTTTGAAGAGTTTTTGATTTGATGTTTGGTTTATGGTACTTATATTTTGAATGATGCTTAGTTTAAATCAAGGCGTGTAGATATCATCCATATGTTTTGTTTATAGTATGACAACGGTTGTTCATGCGGTTGGTTTTATATATCCAGCTTTTAAAATTTTCTACTACATTGTGATATGCTTTCGACAACCAATTGTTTTTCAGTGGGTCTAATTGCAGCAAAGACTTTGTGATGTATGCTGGAGGATCTGTTTGGGCATTGGATTGGTGTCCTAGAGTTCGTGAAAGGCCTGATTGTCATACAAAATGTGAGGTACTTGTACTTTTATATCATAGGGTATACAATTTATTCTGGTTTTTTATTCTACAATGTTTGCAAGTTCTAATTTTCAACTTCATATCGTCACCAAAGCCTTGCCAGTTTGATATAGATGTAAATATGATTATCTTAATTACTCACATATTGACCTATTTAAAATTCAGTATTTTCTTTATTGGATCTTTTGGTGCAATGTTTGGAAGCTCTAATCTCAGCTTCACGTCATCGCCCAAATTACTTTTGCAACAAGATCAACATGAGAGCTTCTAGTCTCTAACAAAGATTAAAAGTGAGACTCCAAGAAGATTTATTGTTAGAATGATAGAGTAGAGTGTCAATTAGGATTAATACAAAGGAAGAAAATTAGGTTTCATCAGGTTGGTATGTACTGTAATTATATATTTTCTCATTGGGTTGTTGTGTTCTTATAAATAGTTTCGTTTAACATTATTTGAGTAATAAAAGTTTTTATCAAATGGGTGGGTGTGCAGAGCGATTTTAAGGGTGCACATAAGCTCACATTATTATTTATTTTATATTCTTATGTTCTAATTTTAGTTCTTTGTGTTTTTGCCCCAGTTTATTGCTGTTTCTGCTCATCCTCCAGAATCGTATTATCACCAATTGGGTGCTTCACTTACTGGGAGAGGTATTATTCAGATATGGTGTATACTAAACGTTAGTCTAAATGAAGAAGAGGCATCTCCACCAGAGAAAAACCCTAAAAAACGAGGACCTAAAGCTGGTGATGCCATTGAAGACAAATTAAAGAGACCAAGAGGAAGACCTAGAAAAAATTCAATAAATAAGTCTCTTGATAGTGAAGCTGCAATGGATAAGTCAATCCAATTAAAGAGGCCAAGAGGAAGACCTAGAAAGAAACCGAAAGATGAATCCTCTGACAATTTGGATGTTAACAATCAGTTTGTTCAACCACTTGCTGTTCAACATTCAGATGAATCATCTGAGTTGCTATCTATACAAGAAGTTTATGGGAATACCGAACAGCATAATTTACATAAAATTATTGGTAATAAACAAAAAAATTCTGCAGAGAGAGAATCTTCAATGCATTCACCCCTTAAAACTCTGGTGAAGAGTAGAAGATTAACAAGCAAGGGAAATGCTGGGAAAAATAATGATGACATATGTCAGCCATTATCTGCCGGTGATAGCTCTAGACAGGATTCTCTGCCATGTAACAATGAATCAGGCAAGGATTCATTGGACATAAGCTTGGCCTCTTGTTCTACCCCAAAGAACATTGCTCTTCCAAGGGTCATTTTATGCCTTGCTCACAATGGAAAAGTGGCATGGGATGTAAAATGGCAGCCCAATAATGTGAAAGGTTCCAAATGCCAGCAACGGATGGGGTATCTTGCTGTCTTACTGGGAAATGGATCCTTGGAAGTGTAAGACACTGGCTTCTGTTTTCTAGATCTTTATAGACTTTTTGATTCTCTTTTTCTGTTCAATATTCTAGATAGTTGAGCAATACGTATGGGTAAATAGACTTGGTTGCATATGTGATTGGTCTATGAGCTGGATAGCTGTTTCTGGGGAAAAGGATGACTGCATACACATTTTTGGTACATTGGAGGGATAAAAGCTCATTAGCTCATATAAGTGATGTAGAAATCATTGTGAATCAATAGAACATTAAAAATATTGGAACTCTAGAAAGATAGTTACCCTTGAGAGTTGCAATATCACATGAGCGACATAGATAACATGCTAGGTTTGGGTATAGAAAATTCATTTATAGTTGTTATATAAAATAATGAGCCAATTTTCTTCTTTCCTTGAGTTTCTCGTGTTACATTGTTCTGCATGTAAGAGCTTTGACGTTATATATCACCTATTGTTTGCCTCAGACTATGATCCTCTCTAAAATTGCTAGGTTCTGTGTTATAACGATATATCACAAGAAAATATTTGTGAGGTGTCTTCTCATGATCCTGCTTGTCATATGCAGGTGGGAAGTTCCTCTTCCTTGTACAATGAAAGCTATTTACTTGGCTTCAGTTAATGAGGGCACTGATCCTCGCTTTGTAAAATTGGAGCCAGTATTCAGATGCTCAATGTTGAAATGTGGTGGCATACAGAGGTAATTTGCATGTATGTTGTCAATTTCTTTTAAATAATTTGATATTTAATTTGAATGTCTACAAAGAATTTCCTTTTCATGGCAATAAAGAGGAGATATTTCAAATTTGCATGCATGCTGCAGTAAGCTATAGGGACTCTCATGTGATGATGGCAATTTAGGATATCTAAAACATAATGAGGGAAGTCCAGAAGAAAATAGATTTATAAATATGATTTTGTTTTTCCTTTGGTCTTATTAGCTAGAGGATATAATTTTTAAGTAGTAGATTGGAAACTTTAGAAAACTTGTTAATCTTTTTGATATCATGGGATTGGTTCAGCATGGCATGATTCAAAATGCATGTCCAGGGCAAGGTATTTGCTGGCCTAGCTACTTTGTCAATTTCAGTGTGATGTTAAAAGTGTCCATGTGGGTTGGAAAAGAAAATTTGACATGAGAGTGGGAAGAGTGCACTTCATCCCTGTTGCCACTTTCAACAAAATTTCTACCTGTTTTGATGTGCACCTGCACCCATTTCCATGTAATTATGTATTCAACCCCCTTTTTTATTCTTTTTGTCTTTAAATATATTTGTTTTGGATGCTTGGCTTAGGAAGGCTCTTCTAAAGGGAATTTTTCTAGGTGTCATGTTTCTATTTGATCACTATGGAGGTCTGAGTTTCAAATGTTGAGTATAATTGAAGGAATCAATTTAGCAAAATATTTTATGTTTCCAGATAATTAGCTTTAAAATTTCCTACTGCCTTAAGTTTCATAATTGTTTGATACTCTCAAGTGTTCTTTCTTTGATTTACTGCTTATTTACTTCTATTGTACAGCGTCCCTTTGACAGTGGAATGGTCAACCTCACATCCACATGATTACTTACTAGCCGGGTGCCATGATGGATCGGTAATATATTACTGTATATATATTTTTACATTATCCTGTTCCAGTTTGCTTCCTAGTTGATTTGGGGGGTGTAATTATCATTAGCATAGATGGTAACATAAATGGGAAAAAGGGCATTTCTCTTTGTGAAATCTTTTTAAAAAACAGATATGAGAGAGAGATTAGAAGTGTATTCTCCAATTGGCACATTTTGATTGAATTTATGCTGATATACATATCACATTTGTTGTTCAGTCGGATTCATAGGTTACTTATCCTTCATTTTTTATTTACCATGTTGTGAGAACTGAAGATTTATTACATCCATTCAGGTTGCTTTATGGAAATTCTCTGTAAGAGGTTCATCAGAAGGTAAATACAACATGTAATCCACTTCTATTTTATGTTAATTTTTTTTTTCTCTTGCAGACAATTGCTTGGACTTTTAAAGTATATCAAATTAATTAGTTTTACATAATTTTTCATTTGCTGATGTACAGATACAAGGCCTCTACTTTGTTTCAGTGCAGATACAGTTCCTATCAGAACAGTTGCATGGGCCCCAACAGAAAGGTCAGTGATTTGAGAAGATTAATTTTCCATATTATCTAGTCTTCTGTGTTTATATATCTCTATGATCTCCTTTTGCACTAAATGCGTGTTTATGCCTATTCTGTGGATGTAATACAATTTTTTACGTGAAGGAATTTTTTCTTATGTGGAGTGTAAATATTCTTTTTTCAACCGTTGCTTTTCATAATTACAGTATAAACTTACTACTTGGGAATGTCAATGCTCTTACAGTATGACATAATCTGGTATGCATTCAGTAAATAAAGATAACCATTAGATCTTTATTGTTTGTAGGATGAAGAGATTGGGTTGAGTGGCTCTTTGGCTTGGTTTCAAGGTTTGGTTGGGCCAATTAACTTTGGCTTGTGTTCATTTGGGAAGCATTGATTGTATTTAGGATCCTGCTGCCACCTCAAGTATTTGTGCAGTAATTGCTTGGTGTAGGATGAAGAAATTAAACTTTTGTTTGAGAATTAATAGGTGTGGGATGGAGGTAAAAAAGAAAGTTAGGAATTTGGATCAGTGAAATATAGGGCTTGCAGCAAATCTGGGTAACTTTTTACCCCCAAAGTTGTGGACAATTTGCAAATTTTGCAAATTCCTATCAACACTTCCTTTCAAGAGTTGAGGTGCAAATTTTTATAAAAGCACGGTTTTTTAATGGGAAAAGAATATATTGTGGATGTTAGATTGACTGAGGGAAGATTTTTTTTAGCTGGCCAGATTTTATTACCTTTAGGCTCTATTTGGCACATGGGATAGATTGGACTGGATTGGATTGAATTGTTGATATTATTGTCTTGTGTTCAGTGGAAGATAGGATTAAGTTTTGAAAGATGTTACTTGATATAAAATAGATTAATCTGTAACTAAAACTAATTTATAATTTTTTTTAAGGATTTTAAATGAAAATTGTCTTTTTATTATAAATATAATTGTAATAAGTTGTTACATCATATTATTATTTGTTACAATTTATTTTTTAAGAAATTCATATTTCCTCATTTAATACCAAAATAATTATATATCATCATCATCATCAGTAACGAAATTTTTATTTGTCATCATTAATTAAAGCCTATTGGGTGGGCAAGATTCTTTTACTCATGGGAGTAAAGATATGTAAACCAATGGATAGCTAAGAGATTATGTATCCCATGTACAAAGGATAAAGTGATGTGTCCCACATATTTTATCCCTGGAATTTTTATACCACCAGACAACCAGATTGGGCTTACAATTCTCCATGATCTCCAATGTCAGCCTTTTTCCTCATACCCGAGGCCTTATTGTGTATTATCTGCCATCAGTCTGAATCATAATGTCATGAGTCACTTTTCTAGCTTATATGTAAACGCCCCCTGACCCTTTTGATCTATTCTTCTAGACATTCATTCATGATTATTTAAGCTATATAGTTAATGTCCTAATGTCAATTGCAATAGTTGCTATTTTTGGATTTGAATTATTGTTTTGTTTATTTGCCAATCTAATGCAAGGTCATTTGATGGGCTTGGTTCACCTTCACTAAAAGGAGCTGAAACATGGTAATAGCAATGTAACTATAACCACCAGCCCCCCCTCCTCCCCTGTTCCCCCCACCCCCAAAAAAAACCCCTTCTTGTTATCTATTTTACTATATGATGCTGTGATTGTTGATATAGCAATATAAAATTTTCTTTTTGATGATTTTCAGTGATATGGAGATTGCAAATGTGATAGTCACTGCTGGACATGGAGGTCTAAAATTTTGGGATATACGGTAGGTGTTATAGCTTGTTTTTGTTTAATCATATATAATGCCTTTTCTTCCCTTATGAAAAATTAATGTTCCTCCTTGAATGTGTTCGTATTATTTGAATCTCAAATACTTGATTACTTTATTGGTCACTTTATCAGACAAATATTTATAATACATAGTTTATACAGAAATCTAGTCAATATTCTAGAGTTTTCATGTTCTAAAGTAAAGCCATAGTACTATTAGAGTGAGACTGAATGCCCTATATTACTTCCTTTAGTGACTAAAGAAAGGTTTTACCTAAAGGAAATGCCCATACATGCTAGATGATGTTTTACAAATTATTGGCGAGAGAACAATTCTTAGAGTTATTTAACAAGCTAGGCATTGTAGATATCTATGCTCCAGTTTGAGGTGTGAGGTTGAAATAGCCAAAATGGGGTTTATTTTATCAGTAAGGTATAAGGGCATTTTTTGTAACTTTCATTATTATTTACAATATAGGAGGGTACTGATGTGTGTTATAGATTCTTCACTTTGCTACATATCTCTCTTACTCTATAATTCTAAATTCGATATGCCATATCACAACATCTGTTTTTCACAAATTTCAAAAGTACTTGAAAACATAAATTTTTTAAGCATTGATCTTTATGTCGAATTTCGTATTTTAAGGGAACCTCTAGTTTATTTTTGTGTAAGAATTTAAATTCTGTTGTTCATATACATATGTCCGGCATATGAGCACTTTTGGCATTATAGGTTTTCATTGGTTATCAAGGAGAGAAAGTACTGTATTGGGAGTATTCCTTGATTAGACATGTTGAAGACATGAACTCTTTAGTCTATATAAATTTTCGTTTTTGAAGATAGTAGGCAATCATATTCAACCTTGTTTAATTTATGCCTTGGTTTGATTTGGGTTTTTGCAGTGACCCATTCCGTCCCCTGTGGAACCTCCATCCAGTGCCAAAGTTCATATATGGTCTGGATTGGTCTAGAGATCCAAGGTAACTTTATGATCTATCTTATTGGATGAAACCCAAATTACATTCCTTATGTTGATTATTTTTTTTCCCTAAACTGGGTTTTTCCATGTATAGTTGTGTTATTTTATCCTTCGATGATGGAGGATTGAGAATCCTCAGCTTGGTAAAGACTGCATATGATGTCCCTGCTACTGGAAGACCTTTTGTTGGGACAAAAAATGGTTTGCACCTTTCAAATTGTTTATCCTTTGCTGTCTGGAGCGTACAAGTGTCACGACAAACAGGTATCTCTCTTATTCTTCAGTATTATTTGTGAAAATGATGTAATATATATTTGTTCCAGTTTGGAGCTCTAACCATCAGTTCAATGGGAATGGATCTGAAATCTTATGCTTGTTCCTTGCATGGAATTATTCATGTGAAGCAAAATGGATTGGCCCCTACTTTCTGTTGGCAAATTATTGGTCAACATCTAATTAGTGCTGCCTTTGCGTTATTTTTTCTATCAGGGCGAAAATAGTATTTTTATCCTTATATTTTTTCCCAAACAATCTTATGTAGATAGACAATTGTGATTCTGGTCCTGGAAATGAAAGAGAATACTGCAACATTAACCTATACTTCTGCTCTACAGTGTTTTAGCCAATGCTTTTGGATGGCTAAATTTCTATTTTCTAATGCCATTACTGTTTAATATCCATGAATTTGATGAATTTCAGTTTATACTTTAGGTATGGTTGCATATTGCAGTGCAGATGGCACAGTTCTCCGTTTCCAAGTGAGTGTGACTTTCCTTGACACAATAACTTTTGTTAATAATTTTCTGCCTGACCGGGTTTACAGTATTTTACTTTAGACAATAACCATTCCCAAGGGTAAATATTAACTATCAGTACATTCTTTTAATCAGATTTAGTTTTTTCACTAGGATGATATTTGAGCATTGGGATCTTAAGCATGAAATCAACTCCCAACGAGATTTTGATATCCAAAAATTAATATGATTTTGTCATTAAAATTGATAGATATTTATGACGTATGTCTATTTAGAAGTTTTAGTGGTAGGCTCACTAGGTTTCCTGGTGCTTGGCACTCTGAATCATCCACATCACTATATGTTATGCTTATCATAATTAGAATTGTGGAGAAGTTTAATAAGTACATGTCTATTCAAGTCCATTCTAGACTCTCAATAACCAGATGATCTTGTCTTGAGGGTAGCTCACAACAAAAGCAGTTGAGAAAGATCCTGCACGTTACCGTGCTCCACATTTTATGTGTGGGTCTCTGACGGAGGATGAATCGGCTATAACAGTGAACACTCCATTACCAGATACACCAATAACATTAAAGAAGCCAGCCAATGAGTGTGGGGAAAGATCCATGCGGAGTCTTGCAGCTGATTTGAATGCAGTCAAACGAGCAAATGATAAGAAGAAGAAAACAGGTTCAAATTCAGATAATCAAACTTTAGGTAAGCTTGAGCAATTTTGGTTAATGCATAAATTTTAACACTGGTTCTCTCCTTGCATGATAATTATATTTACATTATCAAATTTTACTTGCAGCCATTTGTTATGACAATGATCGAGGCAAGGAGTCTGATGCTGATATAACACTGAAAGCTCTTAAGAGCAAGAAAGAATCTAAATCTAGAAGTAATAGTAGAAAAAAGGCCAAAGATGATCAAGCAATGGTATGTTTAGATGAAGAGGGAAGAAATATACAGGGGAATGAAATGGAAAAAGTAGAAATCGGGGATGATGTTGAAGTTATGCCTTCGAAAATGTTAGCAGTGCATCGAGTGAGATGGAACATGAACAAAGGTAGTGAGAGATGGTTGTGCTATGGAGGAGCTGCTGGAATTATACGATGTCAAGAGATTAGAGATCCCCTGCCTGATGCTGATAAGAAAGGGCGTAAGAGAACTTGAAATGGTCATGTCCTAACATATTTGATAATGTTGTTGTCTAATCTTTTGTATATTTGATGATCATGCTAAGTGAGCTACGACAATATGTAATTGCTTTTATTGTTTACACAAAGTTGCCCAGTGGCATTTAAGTTATAGGCCAATAGATTAGGATTAGCCAGTTAATAATTTTGAAAGAAATGAAATTTCTTTATTTTACGAAGCCATTACTTGTTACCAAAACCTTTCCGCCTAATTGTGGCCCTCCCTTGGAAAGAGGAAAAATTTGATATAGTTTGTAATAACATATTCAGGAAGCCCAATTGGTGAAAAATTCTCATTCGGTAATTTCTTAATCTTCGAAAATTAATTTTTCATATCAACCAAACAAACAGTTTAATTTCTGTTGTGTCGATTGAAACTTAGTGTCAAAATTTTAATCAAGACACAATGCATCCCAGTTCAGTGACCAGGCCTAGCCTTGGTTTACACAATCGCGGATGTAGTTTCTACTTTCTAGTGTCTTCCCTAATTGAACAAAACTTTGCAAATAGAAAACGAAATCAGGGTGTGCCTGCAAAACTGTTTGCTCATGTGACACTCAAGTAGTCAAGTTAAGCTCTCCTATGAGAAGTTCATAAGTAAAAGACCCATGTCTGACCAAATATGAAAAACTAGTGTTGTATGTACTATTATCTGTAATAACCACAAAAGAGTATAACTTAACTTTAAACCAGTTTGTAAGGAAAGAGAACCTACCAGCATGGTAATTGGTAAATTATCATTAGGTTGTTTGATGGTAATAGAGTAAAAAAAGATTCTACAAGTTTCTAAATTTAAGTTTCTTTATGCACTAATGCGGATGGCTACTAGAACTCTTTTTTAACAGTTTTAGGGTTCTAAATGATAAGTTAAGATATATACAATCTAGTCCCAAGATTAAAAATAAAAATAAAAACCGCATGGTTATTAATCTGGGTATTAAGCCAATTTTTTAATGATGTAGACTCAATTAGGATTGGCACATTATCCCAGAGTCAGCGACTAAAAGGTTATCCATTTTAACTAGGAACATCCCATCAGGCCATCACCACTGGTCGTTACGAGATCTCAATAAAAGCCCAATCAGATTCCAAAGGACCAGCTTAGAAAGAAGCAAACAAATAATAATAATGTTACATGTACAATCACTAATTAAATTGTATTAATCTAAGTATTAATAATTGAAATTTAAATATTTTTTTTTTTTTAGAGTTTTTGGAAAGAACTAATGTGATAATAAAAGAAAAATACAACATCAGTTAATACTTGGATTGTATGATTTTTGGTTAGTGTACATAACATTATTCAAGAAATAAAATTCCTTTATCTTTCCAGCCCTGTGAGAGGAAGACCCAGATCAGGGGCTCAGGGCACATGCACTTTTTTTCATTTACTTAATTCATTCATCTTCTTTCCTTGTGCGGTTTTGCTACAAGGGGATTGATTTTATTTTTTTTGTTTGTTTGGCATTAACCATAAATTAGAGCTTGCTTTGAGTGTTGCATTTATCGGGTATATACAAGTCTTCGTAGCCAAATGAAGAGGCCTGCACTCCTCAATTATTGTTCTTGTTGCTGCGAGAGAGCTTGAGTTTTTACTTCTATGAAGGAGAGAGTTTTGGCGCAAGGTGGTTGATAGAATGCCACTTAGAAGAGTGAATGAATAGTTAATGGATTATATCGAGTGGACATTTTTCTCTTTCGTCTCAGAGTTTGGAGTTCCTTGGAGGGTGTTTGAATTCGGGGTTGAATGCTCTGAGTGTTAGTTTAGAGAGAAACTATGGGTATTACTTGAAAACTTAGGAGAGTTTTGGAGAAAGAGCGGAGTATATGTCTAAAGATGATTAGTTGATGCATCGTGGGACTTTGGACTGGACTTGAGTTATATTAAATGGTGTTCTTTCTTTTTATAAATGTAACTTCCCAATTACTTTTGACCCCATCATTCATTAAACATTAACTTAGGTCCTCATAAAAAAATTTCTAACACCACCTCTGGACTCGTGACACGAGAAGGCTGACTACTGTCTCCTCCACCAGAGGCCGTGGCAATCCTCCTCTCTTTAATAAAATATCTCCCACCCTTTGTTTCACTTTTTGGGTTATTTTTCTATTATTCTATTCTGATTAAAAAATATTTATTTACTTATTGAGATTATTATTTTGAAAATCAATCCAAATCAAATAAGATTTTTTTTTTTATTGAAAATAAAAATTGGATGAGACTTGTTTTCTATTAGAGTAATACTACACATACATCATTTTCATACAACATTTTCTATACAACATTATGTGGCAAGATATGATTGGTTAATTGAAAGTTAAAATTAAACTTTCACCCAATCACATTTTGCTACATAATGCTGTATGAAAAATATTGTTTGGGAATGATGTATGTGTAGTATTATTCTTTCTATTATCCCATCTTAACAATTTTCTAATTTTATTCAACTAAAAACAATTACCTTTCACAATAAAAGTTATATAAATTAACAAAAAAACCTCTACTCACCCAAACTATTTTTGGTCGCCAGCAACCATCGTCGACAAGGAATGACGCATGATCAATTGAATTTGGTTGATCGTGTGCCGATCTAGCCATTTCTGGCGAGATTTCGGCTAGATCAACCATGAATCTCGCCAGAAATGGCTAGATCTATGGCCAGAGATCTAGCCGTTGACGATGGCCAAATTTTGGCCATTAATGACGGTCAAAGATCTGACCGTTGACGTCGACCATATTTTAGCCATTAACGATGACCATATTTTGGTGATTTAACTGAAAAAGGCCAGATCGGAGCACGATCGACCAGATCCAACTGGTTGTGTGCTATTCCAATGACTGTTGGCTGTCGACCGATGGTGGTGGCTGACTGTCGACAATGGCTTGGGTGGGTGGGGGTGTTTTTATTAATTTATAAACTTTTATTGTGCGAGTGTTTAGCAAAATAACAAATGTAGAGAGTTAAAAATAATCTAAATATTTTTAGAAAATGTTTTAAAAAAATATACCAAACAACTATTCTAATTTTTATTCAATTTTGATATAATTTTAAGATATTTTATAAAACACATCCATAAAATTCTATCCTATTTGATTTAATCATATCCTATCCAATAAAGATAGTTTTTCAGAACAATATTTTTCAAATAACCTACTAAACAGGTCTTTCTGTCATTTCCCGCCCCAAACAAAATTTTCACTATAATAATCTCTTCACTTGCCACCCTTTGGCTTTGAATAAACTCTTCCTCACTCGCCAACCACTCTCACTCAGTTACCCGCAAAACTCTCCCTCCTCACTTCTATCTTCATAATCTCATTCTCCTCTCCTCTCCTCTCTGTGTACAACAAAGAAAGTAAATTTCAAGTAGCGGATTAGTGTTTTCTTCACTTTTTTTTTTTTTTTTTTTTTTTTTTTTTTTTTTTTTTTTTTTTTTTTTTTTTTTTTTTTTTTTTTTTTTGTGAGTTCCATTACATGAGCCATATAATTTCTTGTTTAAAATATTATGAGTTAAGATTGTTGAGATGCGTATTGATATTCACCTTATTATGTGTGTTTGATTGCCATTGTTGTTTGTAAATATTTGTGGAAATTCTTGTTATCTTGTATGATTATGTGTTAATTAATTGGGTTTGGTGTGGAATGATATGATATTTTTCATATTCTAATCTAGATTTCCATCTTATCCACGGCAAATCATGGCTATAAGACGCGGTTTGATCAATTTACATGAGCCACAAATTTCTTGTTTATATTATAGTAAAGTATCGTTGAGATGCTTATTGATATTTGCTGGATTATTATTTGAGTTTCTTGCCATTTTGCTTGGAAATATTTGTAGAAATTCTTGTTATCTTGCTTGATAGTTAACTGGGGTAAGTATTGTGTGAATTTTTGAGCTGATATTTTCATATTTTGGCCTTAATTTCTATTGATGCTTGTTTTTGACACCAACGATTTCGCATGTGTAAAATGCTAAGAAATCACACGTAAGTTAATTAATTATAGTGAGTGGGTGAGATATACTGCGAGCACAGTATCTTGCAAAGACGTAAAAGTAAAGTTAACAAGATAATTTTATAATGGTTCAGATGCTCAAAGCGAATCATACATCCACTGTGTTCATTTATATAAATTGTTTTCTGATCATTAGACAGACATAGAAGAGGTTGCGAATTGCGATTTGGTATTACAAGTGTTTGGTTTTCTAGGTGTTCTTAGAGAATGTCAAGCTAGTTTCTTTCTAATAGTGTGTTTTTGCTATTTTTTTTTTTTTTTTTTTTTTTTTGTTGAATTCAGAGTGTTAGATCCCGATTTTGTGGAGGGGAGCTGCCTATTTATAGTTGCTGAGCTCACAGTAATGATTACATATCTGTAAGTGGATTGGTGCCGTGCAAATCCCTTTTGACGTCCCATTGGCTGAGAACTTAGGAAATATCCTTTAATTAAATGGGGCTTGGACAGGTGTCGAACCAAATTCATTCACAGACAAAACTTGAGTCAGTTGGGTTGTTGAAAACTATATTCTCTTTGTCTTCGGCGACGTGGTAGACTCTGGATGACACAAAGCCTTCTTAAACTCTAATTGATGCTCGCTAACATCAACTTATGTCAGCCATGATTTTTTAGGCGTAACAGAAACTCCCCAGTTCTTGAGATTCAAGGAGTTGGATCTCGAGAATTTCATGATTATGCTATAACCCGACTTGATCTTAGAAATGTTTGTTCGAGCTGAGAGCTGAGTGGCGATCACATCGATGTGGACGACCTGATGCTAGTTGCTCAATTTGACTTCTAAATTTTTTTCTTGATTTGTGAACTATGTTAGATCATGAACTGTGTCTTGAGAGTAAGGTATGCAACATGAGGTGATCGTTTATTCAGATCTACTGACCTAAGGTTGATCTTGCCTCAAGACATCAGAGAATGCTTTGAACTTTGACTGCCATTCACGACCTGGGAAACTTAGATTTTCTCGCAGCTGAAATTTCTAAACCATTTTGTGTGGTGTTCATGTTTGGCATTGTGAATAAATGCCTTTTTTGAATGACCTCTTCAGATGTTATCTGTCGCATTTGACAGCTGGTTCAGTCAATAAAGTAATCTTTATCTGACAGATGTGTCATAGTGCGCATTAAGTGTCA